CCAGAATACTCAAAATCCTGGCTTCCATCCACAGCACTGTAAAATAATTAGAAAAAAAAAAAAGAGTTGCTATTTCCAGGTTACCTCCTGAAAGCACCTGCTCTAGAACAGTAGTGCTCAGACATCAGTATGCATGAAAATCACCTGGGAGGCTCATTAAACTACAGAGAGCTGGGAGACACCCCCAGAGTTTCTAATTCAGTACAGCCTTAGAATTTACTTTTCTAACAAGTTCCCAAGCATTTTTGATGCAAGGGCCATGCCTTAGGTGCACAGGATCAGACACATTGACAAGCTGGGGGCTGTAGCCACAAGAAGCTGTTTGAAGGCCTCTGGTGATACCAAGCTAAAGTCCACCTCCCCACCTCTGTTTATACTGTCCCGGGGAGGCTGGAATGCCCGCCTTTGTCAGTGGCTTCCCTGCCTGCTCTGTCCTCCAGGAAGCTTTTCTGGATCTCAGAGCTCTCCTGTGCTCCCCAACACCCTCCATATAAACAAAACACCTCACCCACTGCTAGGTTTTTGCATATTCACCTCTCCCACCAGATAAGAAGGGGAACCTCTATGAAATTAATTCTGATTAATTTTCCATCTTCAGTATCTAGTAAGTGTTAGGTATACATTTGTTCCTCCAAACCAGCACTGAAAGTATTATCACACCTGTGATCACAATAGCCATAAATCCACATAATTCCCCAATTAGTCAATTAGTGATGAATTAGAAAGAAGCTTAAACATCACAGGAAAGCAGTCTCTCCCTTGCCTTCCCTGAGAAGGATGGAAATGGAGCCCATTTCTGAAGCATTAGAACCACAGAGTCCAAACATACCCGTAGAATATGTTCAGAAGAACAAGCATAAGTTGTTCAAGACTTAAGACCTGTTATCTCCATCTATATCATACATGGTGTCTTGTTTAAGGACACTGTTATAATTTTAACACTCAAGTACAATAGACTGCTCACTGTACCTATTACACAGTATTTTTTCTTAAAAAAAAAAAAAAAAAAACAGAGACTGACCAAAGGTCTGACCTGCAATACCAGGAACACATCTCATCGCAGGGCTTCCATCTGGCTGTCAGACAGTAAAAGCTTATTCGCCCTTCCCCTTGCACATGCTCCAGCAAAGATTCCCCTTTCCCAGTTTGCTGAAGTCTACAGTAGGGGTGCTGGGGGCAGATGTGACTAAGGGGGGCAGTGTTAAGAGGACAGGGTAACTAATTGGCCTGAGGAAGGTCCTAGAGACCCCTCAGGTTGCTTTCCTACCAAAAATGTTCCAGTTTGGCCATTTGAGGCCTATGTTCTATTTTTTTCTAGGGACAGTTTGCCAATTTTAAAAAACATACTCTGCCAAAGTGTTAATTTGGGTTGAGGGAACAGGCTGGCCCTTCCCCTCTCCTGGATTAGACAAGTGGAATTCCTTAACCCTGTGGCTAAATCCTGAGAAGAAGTTAAGGATCAAGTGGGAGAAATTTTGAGACAGGTACATGGTCCATGAAATTAGAACATCTAAGCTCTCTTAGATATTTCACAAAGACAGTGAAGGGCCTGTTTCAAGGAAAAGGGTGGGAGTGTTTCTGACCAGGAAATCAGATCCTTTGTAGTCCTGGTTAGACAAGAGACAGTCTGTCATCTTGGACATTGGAATATGAAGACTATAAGACTACCTATGTTGCCATCCCAACCACAACACATTGCCAGAACCACATGGAAAAAGCAGCACCATTCTCTTCTTGCCACAATTTCCCGGGTTCAGAGAGGCAGACAGCACCGTTTACACCCAGGAAAGAGCCAAAACTGGACCCAGAACTCTTCTGAGCCTTCAAGCTCATAGGCCTTGCTGCCCAATTCGGTGCTTTTTCTTCTTCAGCTCAGCAAGTAGGAACCATCTACCTGGTAAAAGGTGTAAAAAGCTTTGTAACAGCTTTTCTGTCTCAGGGAGTCACAGGCTATAGAAGGATGCACATGGATCTCCTAAGCCAGGCAATCCTCAGTTCAAGTCTCAGCTTCAGCTCTGATGATGGAGCTTTGGGCACCACACAATCCTCATCTGGACACAAAACACGGACAACAATGTGCTCAAAAGTTTCCTACAGGGGCTGGGATTATAGCTCAGCAGTAGAGCGCTTGCCTCGCACATGTGAGGCACTGGGTCCGATCCTCAGCACCACATAAAAATAAATAAAGATATTGTGTCCATCTTTAGAAAAAAAGAAAAATCTTTAAAAAAAAAGTTTCCAGGCTGGAGATGTGGCTCAAGCGGTAGCGCGCTCGCCCGGCATGCGCGTGGCGCTGGGTTCGATCCTCAGCACCACATACAAATAAAGATGCTGTGTCCGCTGAAAACTAAAAAATAAATATTAAAAAATTCTCTCTCTCTCTTTAAAAAAAAAAAGTTTCCTCTCTTCTCCCAAGGGGTCCATGGCCACCTGCTACACTCTAGAAGTCTAAGAGAATAGTGCAGCCATTACACACAATGCACACCTTAGAGCAGCAGGGTTTAATTCTGTCCAGAAAAGTTGTTTTGGAAGGAGTTGGGCATCATAAGTAACAGGACTCTTGTATCTCCCTGAGGGTGCGGGGAAATTACACAGAGGGCACAGGTAGGAACACAGAGAAGAGTGTGGGGCAGGGAGGTGGCAACACAAGAACAGCAGCTACTCTTGCCCTTGACTTGCTTTCTCTCTCATTGCTGTTTGATTTGCAATACAGAGAAGAAAACTGTGTACCTGCTTTGTACTAATGCATTTCTCTCAGCAAAGGGGAAAACACAAACCTCACAGTTACTGATTTTCATATTCCATGTACTTATAAAGTGTGCCTCTAGAAAGCCAAGTACCTTTAGTGTTCTTTCCTCACATTTTAGAAATAATAGTTCTTTCTAAAACATCTAAATTTATATTTCTGTGATATTATGATCCTAATTATGCCATTACATGTCTCAAAAGCAAACATTTAAAAATATTTAGCTTTCACATGGAAAAAAGTGTGAAGGAAAAGGAAGGGAAAGACAGTTTGTCACTTTCAACAGCAGAGAGATCAACCCACCAAGCTATAGAGCCCCATGGGCAGCCCTACTTCTCTGCTGCTTCCCCTTGGATACATCATTTTATTTCTCTGGGCCACAGATTCTTCATCTGTGGAATGTAAAGTTCTTTCCAGCTACCAAAGTGTATAACTTCAACAACAGTCTATCTCGGTATCTGTAAATGTAGAAATACTTGCCTCCAACTCTTAGGAGGGTGAAAACTAACAAGGAAATGTTTGATCAAGGCTTCAAGATTGCACAATGAAACAGAAATAAACAAGTCTTATAAAATCACAGTTCTCAGGGACCCCAAAGTCCATCCAGCTAAAGTGAAAGTGAACTTTCACCACACAGGAGATGATTGGCAATGGTCTTTTTTATGACATTTTTTTTCTTCCTGGCTGAGGGAAAGCAGGCAGAAGGCACAGGTGAACTGACAGCCCAGGTACTATCCTCAGGCATTCTAGAGAACACCAGGCATTCCAAATTTTCTCCAGCATGGTCCTATAAGAGTTTGTGTCCTCAACAAGTGTACATTGCAGACTAAATAAAATATGTCAAATAATGACCTCATTTCTAAAACTAAACTCCAAGCATGCCTGAGTTTGAGAGGCCAGTCCTATGGCATGGAAGCTCTGTGCCTAGTGAGAAGAGGAGGGTTTCCACCACTGCATAGCCATGAGAAACCTAGCCTGTTACTTCTCTGAGTTCCCTTTTCTCATTGGTAAAATAGGGACAATGTAGATTCTACCTTACAGGGATGTAAAGAGGATTTTAAATGAGTATTAATTACATGTAAACCCTCAGAACAGTATTTAGCACACAGCAAGTGTTTAATAAACGCTACCTAATAATCATATTAATGTCAGTATTAACATCATTCAAGAACTATATGTGCTATTCTACTTCAGTTAAAAAAAAAGAAAGAAAGAAAAGAAACAGTGGCAAATGGGAAGATCCTGAGATCCAGATCACTCCTGAGGAAATGCAGCTGCCCCCTCCTCCTCAGAATGTCTCCTCCCAGACATTCTGAAATACAGATGTATGCAAGGTAATGGAGTGCTAAATGGAAAGGAGGAAAAGGAACCTAGGGATGCTAAGGGACTGTGAAAAAGCACAACAGAAGGACCAGAGACCAGATGTGCTTACAAGGGCAGCAGGGAGAGTGCTGGAGAAAGCACTTGCCAGGAAAAAGCAGGTAAATGGGAAGAAAGTGCCTGTAGAAGGAGGAGGTAGGGGGGACAGGATGGGACACCCAAACAAGCAAAGGAGCAAAAATAAAGGATGATATAATGAACCTTAGGACTGGGAGAGAGGTGAAGAATGGCAAATTAGGGGGCCTTAGAAGGTAGATGCAAATTAAAATATTGGATAAGAAGAAACAGCCACATAAAGAGCCTGAGGATGGGGAAGGGGCAGAGAACAAGGTTCTGCAGCACATGGAGGGGTGCATAATTAACCAGAGAACAATGCTGTGAGGAAGTTTAAAAGTGGGGGGAGGGGAGACTAAAAGAGAAACTGGGCGTTTGTTAAGAAAGGTGGGAAAGAAAATAGAGTGGAAACAAAAAACAAAAAAATTAAAATAGGATGAAATTTCCCTGCCTGTTAGTAAGAACTAACAATGAACTGGGCGATCTGGAGGAGTTAATAGGGAAGAAAACACTAGGCAACAGAAAATGAGTTGAGGTGCAGACTTGGGAAACCATGGTTACAAATGCTAAATAAATATCAAACAATTATTCTATTTGTCAATATAATTATCCAACGCTGGGAAGCAAATAACCCAGACTTGCTTTGATTTTTTTTTCAATTGGAGGGAGGGAAATTTGCTCTGATCCTGTAACTGCTCAGTCAGATGGGTGGCCCGCCAACACAGGTCACCTGAGTTCCCCCTGATGCTGGCAGCAGCGCCGGCTTCTACCTTCCTGGGACTAATAATTCTTCCACCTCCTGAACAGAAATGGTGCCAATCCAACTCTGCCAGCTCACTCCCTTTCAGTCAAGTAAGGACAGACATCAAGTCCCAAAGTCTTTCTCCTGGAATAAGCCCCAGTAGGGAACTGGGGGAAAAACTTGCTTTCTAAGCCAAGTTCTCCAACCGCATCCCCTACCGGTCCTCTGGAAGCACAGGTCGTGCCGCTGAAGTGAGCAGAGCGTTAAAGGAGTCACTAAGCAACCAAGGGTTTACTCAACCTTTGTCCGTTCTCCCGACGCAACCCCCTCAGACCCGGGCCAGTGAGCAGGGAGCGCGGGGTAGAGTTTCAGGGTAATCCCTGGACGGGTCCAGCAGGAAACCGCCTCTTGCAAGAACACCACACGCACGCTCTGACCCGAGGCAATGCTGCTGGAAAAGCCGGAGGGCGCCAAGTAACTACTGCCCGGCAGGGAGCACAAACAGCCGCCCAAAAGGTGAGTAACAGAGGCAGGGCCCACGAATCGGGAGGAGGAGTTGAGAGCAGAATAACCTCAAGTCCCTGAGGCCGTCAATTACTCCCCGCGTGCCCAGCTAACAGCCCGCGCCCCACGGCCGCCGGGCAGACCCGAGCGCCCCCGGTGCAGCCTCACCTCGCGCTATCTCCACTTGACGGAGCCTTCAAAGCCAACGTATCCAAGACGTCCCTGCGCCCCAGGGACTGCTCCAGGCCAGCAGAGCCCCGAGCTCGCCGGGTTCTCTCCGGCGCGGCCTCGGGGCTGGCGGCTCTGGGACAGCCGCGGGAAAAAGCGCGGAGCAGAGCCTCCACCCGCCGGCAACCTCCGGCTCCCTAAAACCACGCCCCCCGGCCCAGCTCCCTCCGGCCACGCCCCCGGCCCTGGCACGCCCCGCCGATTCACCTCAGGCCACGCCCCTGATCGGCTCACACCGCCCCCCCCACCTCGGGCCCAGCTCTACCCCCCAGGCCTTGCCCAGTGGCGCGGCTTTTCGCTTGCAACCACCCCGAGGCCTTGCCCTCTGCACAGTTCCTCCACTCTACTCCATCCTTAGATCCAGCTCAACCCCGGAGTCCTCCCCACTCTCACTTCACCCCATCCAAAAAATTACCCCCCCTACCACGCCCCATTCCTCTTCCTCACGCCAACGCCCCCTACCCAGCGCAACTCTCTTCCAGCCTCCCATCTACCCCCCACTGCAGCTCGCAGACTGCCCCACCCCACCCCCAGCCGGGTTCCTCTCCTACTCCCACCCATAGCGAACTCCTGGGTCCACCTGAAGAGGGAGAAGCCGCCTCGTCGCCTGGGCAACGGTCCCCACTCCTAGCCCCACTTCTGCCTGTAGTTCACGTGGAGCGAAGGCTGCACTTGATTTCAGAGTGAAGGGAACCCCAAGGTGAGGATGCTTCAACCTACTGGTTTCCCCAGGGCCTGGGGCAAGTCTTGTGAGGGGTGTTTCAGTGAACTCAAAGGACTATCTTCACCTTTCTGATTTGTCCTAATCATTGATTCACATGAAAACCACAGAGGGGATGCAAACCCTTCTGTGCCCCAAATGTCCCATGATTATTTCCTGTTACACAACTAATGGAATTCATAAAATAAGTGCATTCTTTTTAAAAAGTGTAGTTTTTAAGATGATTACATTGATCGGTTATAATGTGCAAGCACGATTATTATAAACATGTATTACTTTTACAATTGAATATCCACAATTTTTAGACAAAAGGACAATTAATATATTGCCCCATGAAAATCAATTGATGTTTTAAATATTGAAAACACTAACCTGTGTGATAATATAATGGTGGGTATATGTCATTATGCACTTGTCAAAACATAGAATGAACCTCTTATAAGCCATGATCTATAGTTGTTCATAGCCTATCAGTATTGACTCATGGGTTGTAACAAATGTGCAGAACTAATACTGTTGACAATACAAGAAACTGTGTGGAGGGAGGGAGTATGAGGGAGAGTATATCAGAACAGTACAATTTCCACTAAGTTTTCTGTAAACCTAAAACTTCTCTAAAAAATAGGCTACCAATTAAAACACGCCAAGATATTAAAGTAGTATTACTAGGTGGTAAAAATATGGGCAGATTTTATTTTATTCTTTTAGTTCCCTAAATTTTTGACAATGAGCATGTATGTTAAAAGCACAAAAAATATTCTAAAAATAAGCTGTGGAAAATTTTATAGACATAGCATGAAAGATGATATAATTAAATATTCCATTTTATTTCTATTTTATGTAACTAACAAGATCTGCATGAAGCCCTCATAAATGAAATCCATCTTAATATTGTTTAAAAAAGAGTATCAAGGACTAACTTGAAAGTTTTTTTTAGTATCTCATTAGAATTAACTTAAATCTGAGCAGTAGGTTTTGATTTTTCTTTAAAAACATCTGTGTTTCCAAAGATTGTTTCTGCCTGCTTGGAAACCACTATTAATATTTACACACAATGCTTTTTTTTTTTAGCAAAGAAACCATTATATTTGAAACCACATCCTTGGGGAAATAGGTTTGGCATTTAAATGAGTAGATTTCTGTAGAATCAGACTTGAACTAAAAGCATCCTGACACCCAGAGTGACCCTCAGTAAGCTAAGTTTCAGCTTCCTCTTCAGTGTGGAGCTGACAGTGGTAGCTCCCTTTCTTCATTGGTTGGGGAATTAAAACTCTTAATATCATCTTAATATATATGGGTGCCTGATAATTGTTAGTTGTCCTTTAAAACAAATAAATAAACAAACATTTTTCAGGATTTCAGTGGAGCTCCATGAGCTCCTGGGATAAAACGTATTTCTGGGTTCAGATTTTAAACTTGTTAGAGGAAGTCAGGATGATTCAAGAGAAAAATAATTGATTTGATACAGAGAGACTGGGTACTAACCTCCACACTCGCTATCTAGCTATGTGCACCACATGGGCTAATACCATATAACTCTAATTCTCACTTTTTTAATCTGAGAGATCCGGGCCAGATATCTAGAGTTTTTTGTTTTCCATTTCCATTATTCTACAAGGATTATAAGTATCTAAATGACTTCTAACTAAAAAAAACAACAATAAAAACCTGTATCTGATAGAGGCGATTCTCCCTGCCTACGTGTCTGGCCATCACTCAGCCCTGCAAACAAAGCTGACATCTGCACTCCATTGTTCCCCACAAATGGGAACCTCCCAGGGTCTCTTGTCTTTTTTCCTCTCTGCTGATCTGCTAGTACCCAAGTTTAACTAGCAGCTCAAATTCTAACAGTAGCCAATTTAAAATTTTCGTCTAAGATTGTTCATAACAGCACTGTTGCTTTCTACAGGAGAGTACCCAGGGATAGAAACTTTCACCAAGAGTTTTTTTCCTGTCATGTAATAGAAATTATAATCTATCTTCCCCTTAATATTCAGTGAATTCTTAATAGCCTATGGGCTTTACATTCATTATCTTAAAACATTAAAAAATGGCTATCATTCTCATTTGATAGATAGGGAAAACGAAGTTCAGAGAGGCTGGATGAATATCTAAAGTCACACAGCTAATAAGTGATGGAGCCAGGACTTGATTTCCTGCACCCGCTTTTAAACATTATGAAGAAAGCAGTACTGAGTTCCCCTCAAAGTTCTGGAGAAGAATTGCTAGATTCTCCCTCCCCCTAATTCAGCAAGAGTTTCTTAGAAGGAAACTTTCAGGTTTCTGCACATTTCAGGTTTTTTCTTTGAGTATCTTCTACAAGATAAGAATTCTAGTTTCTGCCGCACTTTCTACTGACTGTTGGGAGAAATCCATTTTTTATCTACATTGATAGAACCAACCTAATTTATTAACTTATTAATCGCAAAGAAGGTTAAATGTCTTTTTAACCTTTCCACCTAGACCACTGCAAAGAGTAATCTGGGGTCAGTGTTGGACACCACCGACCTGGCTGTCATCTAGAGGGAGTACCTTCATGTCTAGATCTAGAAGGGGGACACTGAAAGATCAGCAAGAATTATTCACACATACTCCAGTTGACTTTATCAATAATATTGCTTATGTTTTATCTTCATCTATCAGTCTCCAGCATTGTGTTTGTTTGGAAGGTAGGAATGGAACGAAGGAGGTTAGTTGACCCACAACTGCCCCTGCAGCATAAAGTAACCCCAAGACCATGTGTCTCTTCTGTTCTCTAGCCCTGTGATTTCAGGAAAATTCCTTAACCTCACTATGACCAGTTCCTCATCTGTGATATATTGTGGTGAAGATTAAGTGTGATGATGATGTATGTAAAGTCCTAGCTCAGTGCTTAGCACATGGTCAAATGCTAAATAAATAGTGGCTGTCTTTGATTAGAATGGAGAAGGTGGCTGGCCATCTTTAATTCCATGGTTGCTTTAGAGCAAAGACCTAATCCAAAGCTTCCTAGAACGATAAAATAATGTTTGGCATTTATCAAATTATCTCAACATATAAATGTCTACTTAGGGGAGGGTGAGAAGGGACCAAATAATTTGGGCAGGGAAAAGAAAACATTGTCTTTGCTTTTTGCCCAGGAAAGGATGTCAAGGCCAGTGGTTCTGGAGAGCACAGAAGGGACAGGCCGGGATTCAGCTCCAGGGAACTATCTGCAGAGACAACCCATCTGCTCAGAGAAAGGGATGCTTTCACACCAGGGTTGAGAGGGAACACAGATGGGAAGGTCAGCCACAAGAAAGAGAAGATGATGACCGGTATAACATTGTCCTCACAGTTGTTATGGAAAATAGTATGCTGATCCTTCAAAAAATTAAAATTAGAATCACTATATGCTCTAACATTTCCACTGCTGGGGCTATAGTGAAACGAAAGCATAGATTCAAACAGATACTCATACAACGTGTTTATAGCAGAATTGTGCACAATTGTCACAAGGTAGAAGCAACTCATATTCATAGGTGGATGCAAAACTAAAGAAAATGTGGTATATGCATGCAAAGGAATGTTACTCAGCTTTAAAAATAAAGAAAATTCCAACTTGCAACCTGGATAAACTTGAAGACACTACACTGAGTGAAATAAACCATAAGCAAAAAGGCAATATATGAATCTACTTAGACGAGCTACCTGGACTACTCAAATCCAAAGAAATCAAAAGTAAATTGGGAGGGCTGGGTTGTGGCTCAGTGGTAGAGCACTTGCCTCGCACATGTGAGGTACTAGGTTCAATCCTCAGCACCATATAAAAATAAATAAATAAATAAAGAGATATGTCCATCTACAACTAAAAGAAAATTAAAAAAAAAAATCTAGATTTACATAATGAAATGTTTTGGAGATGGATAGTGTTGATGGTTACACACAGATGTGAATGTACCTAATGCCACCAAACTATACACTTAAAAATGGTTAAGATGATAAATCTTATGTTATATATATTTTACTACAATTAAAAACAAATTGACAGCTGGGCATGGTGGGCGCACACCTGAAATCCCAGTGGTTTAGGAGGCTGAGGCAGGAGGATTGAAAGTTCAAAGCCAGTCTCAGCAATTTAGTGAGGCCCTAAGCAATTAAGCGAGACCCTGTCTCTAAATACTAAAACAAAGAAAAAGTTGGGGTTGTGGCTCAGTGGTCAAATGTCCCTGGGTTCAATCCCTGGTACCAAAAGAAAAAAAAAATTGTCCCAGCTTCTAACCAGAATTTGCACAAAACTATGGGGATTTAGGGTAAAATGGTGGTGATTTTTTTTCTCTGCAACTGACTGATCCCAGCATGGTTCTGAGGGCTCTGTAAGCTCCTGCTGTTGTTTGGATATGAAATGTCCCCCTACGGCTCATGTTGAAGTGCTTGGTCCACAGCACTTTGGGGAGGAATGAAACATTTAAAAGATGGGGCCTTGTAGGAAAAAGTTAGGTCATGGGGTGGGACTCTGGCCCATTTCTTCCTTTCTTTGTTTCTCAGCTGTCATGAGGTAAACAGGCCTCCTTTGCTATGTGCTCCTGTAATAATGTACTGTGCTGCCACAGGCCAAAAGGGACAGGGCCAAGTCACCATGGACTGAAACCTCTGAAAGCATAAGTCAAAATAAACCTTTCCTCCTTAAAAGTTGATTACTTCTGATTACTTCTATTTGTCATAGTGACAGAAAGTTAACACAGTCCCTCCGCCAATCCCTTTTTAAGTGGACATGGTCTGGTGAAAGATGAGGACTTTTCCAAAGCAATTCTCTATAAGAACTAGTTATCTTTGCTTTAATCAAGTAATTTCCAAAATCCTGAATTCTTTATTAAATTTTCATAATCAATATCCTCATGTAACATTTTATTTTATCATTTGTACCTCTTCATTATGGCATAGTATATGTGCACTTAATTCTTCAAGAGCAGAATCTCTTCCCTTGGGGACAGAGCTCTGGCTTTAGAGATAGACAGATTTCAGACAGAATCCTCCTTTTACCTTTCACTAACTATGAGGCCTTAATCAAGCTGCTTGGGACCTTCATATCTTCATCTGCAATGTAGAAATAAAATACCTACCCTCATTGTGGCAGGGATTAAATGAAACAATCTATGTGAACAGACTTGCCTGATATGCAGAGAATATGTACTAAAAGCAACTGCACAGAGTTGAGACATACCCAGGCGCAGGTTTTCTTTGATTTCCATGGTCTTTTGAAAAGACTCAAGTTCATTTCTTTGACCCCTTCCCTGACTTTCCTTGGTAGCAATAAATACTTCATATCCACTGATGGCATAAGACCTGAAACATGTCCTTTCTTTAGCACTAAAAAGATCATGTGCTTCTTTATTTAGCTGGGGTTTTTTTTTGGTGGGGGGTGGGGGGATACCAGGGATTGAACTCACAGGCACTGACCACTAAGCCACATCCACAGCCCTTTTTTGTATTTTATTTAGAGACACGGTCTCACTGAGTTGCTTAGCACCTCACCATTGCTGAAGCTGGCTTTGAACTCCCAATCCCCCTGTCTCAGCCTCTGGAGCCCTGGGATTTCAGGCATGTGCTACTGTGCCCCGCCCCTAGCTATTTTTTTAAAACTTTATTTACTTTGTTTATTTATTTGTTATTACATCTCACATAATGCTAAGTTCATATTAAGTACTACATCAATAAAATAATAATAAACTATTAGTTACTATGATATGCTTAAAAGCATGTTACATTAAAAACATTACAAGTAAGATTAAAAAAAAAAAAAACTTAGTTCCCCAAATCAAGGATCTAACAATCTTGGCATGCTGCCAGTTCTTTTTGGCTGATGTTTATATTTTGTGTTAAGACAATAATTCCTTTCAACTCCAAAATTCTGAACCCCTAATAACCACCAGGGCCCACGACTATCATTTGAGATGAATCATGTGACCTGTTTTGAATTTCACCCCAACCAAACGCTTCCATTTTAAAACTCAAGTTACCCAAGTTAAAAACCAAGTTCTCCCCCCACACCCCAATTTCAAACATGCAGAAGAACAGATGGGAGAGAACAAGGTGACTCACCTTTGCTTTCTAAGTAGACTTTGAATAACAAGGAACAAGTGAAAGGGACAATTATCAGTAATTTTAAAATAGAGAATTCCAGTACAGATCAGAATATTCACTCCGGACTCTGTGCAGCAGACCTTTAGACCTGGGCAGCAAGGGAAGATGAACAATTGGATGTGCTAGGAAAACTTTACGGAATTTTATTCTTGGGGATTTAAGAAAACAGGGGCAAAGGCATACATGTAAGCAAGGTCATTTGTAGTAGAGTCCTTAGGAAGAAACTCTGGGGTTTTGGCACCTTCTAGATTATTACATTGTTTGAGATATACAAACTGTTCCCTCAACATGTTTCAAAATGAAACTGGTAATGTGTACAAGTAATAAAACTGAACTGGCTTGTCATCATTGTGGTAACTGCCATTCTCTATGCCAGAATTTGGGCTTTACTTAAGTTCCTTCATTCAGTCTTCAGAGTGAGAGGATAGATTTTGGTGTCAGACAGCTAAATTTTAATCCTACCTCTGCTACCCAGTAGCTGTGAGTCTGAGCTAATTAGTTTATTAAGTTTTTACTTAAATTTTGTGAGGCTCATAAAGCTTACATGTTCAGCTGGGTTAGTGTGTGTGTGTGTGTGTGTGTGTGTGTGTTGGTTGGGTGGGTGTGCGCACATGTATGTGTATGTCTATGTGTTAGACAATCTTTAAGATAATCACCAAAGATCATCACCTAGTGTTTGTGCCTTCATGTGACCCCTTCTTCCCAAATGCAGACAGAATCTGTGATTTGTATCTAATCACTGAAAATGGCAAAGGTAACAGGATGTCACTGAGGTAATTATATTATGCTGTATAAGACGCTATCTTAGTGGCTGGAGTTAGAGACTCACTGCTAGCTTGATAAAGTAAGTGGCCACATTGGAGAAGCCCACCTGGCAAGGAACTGTGGGCAGCCCTAGGACCTGAGGGCAGTCTCCCACTACAGCTATCAGGAAGCTGGGGCTCTCACGTACGCAATCCCAAAGAAACAAATTCTGCCAATACCAAGAATGAGCTTGGGAGTGAATTCTTCCTCAGTCAAATTTCCTGATCATTACTTTATTGCCCCCTTGTGAGACCCTGAAACAGAGACCCAGTGGAGTTTTCCCCAGGCTCTTGACCCATGGAAACTCAGAGTAGTAATAAATCTGTGTTGTTTTAATGCACTAAGTTTGTTCCACAGCAAGAAAACTGATACAATACAAATGTAACCACGATTTAGATCAAAATATAGAACATTCCTAGCTCCTCAGAAAACTCCCTCAGGTGCCTCCTGGTTAGCAAAGCCTGCCACACCAAGGGTAAACATTACTCTCCCCTCTGGCACTATAAACTACTTTGGGTTGTTTTATTTTTTAACTTCATATAAATGGGCTTATGTAGGATGTATTCTTTTTTATATATAATTTTTTTAGTTGCATCTTTTATTTCTGATTTCCTTTAGTTTACGTTATGTCTAGATTCATCCAGGTAATTGTGTATAACACTTTCATTCTTTTCCATACTATGGAATATTCTACTGTTTGAATATATTGTGTCCTATCTATTGTTTATGAATAATTAGGTCTTTTCTACTTGGGGTTATTAAGCTACCATGAACATTTTTGAGCATGCTTTTAGTAGAAAAGAAAGAAATCATCCTTTTTTTGGAGTATACTCCAGGGGTGGCATTGGTGGGTCATAGGATTTGCATTGCATATCTTTGGCTTCAGTAGGTTGGACTAGTTTGCAGTCTCACAAGTGATAAAAAGAATGTTCCAGGCATTCTACCCTCCCAACACTTGGTATTGTCTCAGCCTTCACTTTTTTTTCATTAGAAAAATAGGAATAATAATGGCACCCACCACCCAGAGATGTTGGGAGCATTCAATGAAATTATATGTAAATGTCTTCATAAAATAATACTTGTTTGATAATAATACTTGTTGATATTAATCTCCATTTTGCTAGCCTGGTTACACAGTTAGAAGTGACTGTGCTGGGGTTCAAAGGATGAATTCCAACATCAATACTCTTTTAATCAGGCCTGTGAAACCATCTCTCAGTCATTTTTAGTGGCCATCAGTCTCTATAAGTATTTCAAAATTATATCTTCTTTTATTTACCTTCAAATTTTTGTTTGCTTATTGACTAACTGATACAGAGAATTGAAAAAATCCAGGCACAGTATAACAGTATACCACTGAGCTATAGTCACAGCCCTTTTTTTCTTTTTTTTGGAGATAGGGTCTTGCTAAGTTTCAGGGGTTGGCTTTGAACTTGCCATCCCCCTGTCTCAGCCTCCCAGGTT